CGCACACACACGCACACAAACATACACACAGACACAACACACACAAACATACACATGCATGCACACACACACAACACACGCACATGCACACACACACACACACACATTCACAGATTCCTATTGTTATTTTTTACCACAAGGATTATACACAGATTTGAAAAAACCAATTGTTATTTTTTTACCATTATTATAAGGATTATACTGTGTTATTATTTTGAGAGAGAGAGAGAGAGAGAGAGAGAGAGAGAGAGAGAGAGAGAGAGAGAGAGAGAGAGAGAGAGAGAGAGAGAGAGAGAGAGAGAGAGAGAGAGAGAGAGAGAGAGACTTTTCTGCCATCCTCCTCCTCCCCAATGAGAACTGCCTCCCTGCCGTGTGCTGGTGCTAATTTGTAAGGTGTAAATCCTTTGTTTATACTGTCTGTCCATGTACTGCCGCCAAAGTGTAGCCTGTGCCTTGTGCTGTCACACTCTTTGTAATTAGTTAGCATTCTGGAGTGATGTACGTTGTACTGTTCAGTGGATATTTGCTGTGATTATAGATAAGCTTTGGATGGTAGGCCTGTTATTTTGAGAATGACTCTTCACCTTAAACATTGTCTCACCACTTTTTATCAAAAGATGTGTGTCTCTGTTTGGAGACCACATCATATGGAGTGGAAAAATAATCTTAAGGAAGATGACAGACTGATGTTAAGGTACTCTTTGTTTATATACAGAACCTCGCTGGCATGAGTCAGTACTCCGTTCTTTACTGTAATGTCATACTGTCGGGAAATGTAGGTCCATCTGTGTACACTGTTATCCTTGAAACGTCTCAAATGGAAACATCTGTCACTTGTAGTTCGGGCATTAAGGTTGAGTTTGTTATCCTTTCCCTAATTATTCAAACAATTTTCCTTCTCATTGTGTAAAATGGAAGACATTGTGCTGCAATAATTTCTAAATGGATTACTTTACTGAAGTGGTTTGTTTGGCATTGGGACAGATAGCTTACCTCTGTGTCACTTCGGGTATAATGGGTTATTGGAATGTGTGAAACTGCTCTCTAGATTGTTCTTTTGCTGGGTAGTCATGGAGACCTTTTAAAGGACTAGAGCTCAAAAGTGAGATAAGGGCCCAAACACCATGAAAACCAGTTTTGTGGACACACAGCAGTCACTCAGACTATACAGTGCTTAACAAATTTATTAGACCACCCGTCATAAAAACGAGAAAACTCAAATATTTTAGAAATTTGTCAAAAACTTCTTTAAACTAAAAATTATATTGTTATTTCTTTGGAAAATAACAAACTGAAACAGCTTAATAAGTCCTTATTCACACCCAAAAACCAAAAAAACTATTTTGTATGGCCTCCTTTGGCCATGATAACAGCTTGCATTCTTGGTTTCAATCACTAAAACTAATTTTTATGTTCAGGAATGCAAGTAAATAACTTATTTCGCATCTAAATCAAAAAATAATAATGTACTTAACTAGTTTTTTTTGTGCTTTTTTATAAAACGATGAATTAGAAAATTTGTGGATAACAACAATAATTATTTTTTAGGATTTAAAAATATAATTTTAATTAAAGAGCTTGTGCGTACTGGTGGATTAACCATTACAGAAACATAAAAAATGATTTTGGTAATTACCAATACTGTTAATTTAGGGCATCTGTGGCATAAACCTTAGATTGAGCGGTGCTCTAATAGATTTGTGAAGCACTGAATATGCTCAGAAACTGTACAGTTTGCCAGCATGGATTATTGTAAAAATGGCTACAACAATGTCAATAGCATAAAAAACATTGGTTGTGCGGGGTCAGTCTCCCTATGTACTGTGGTGTGGTCCTGGTTTGTCTCTGAAACCATTAATTTGGCCCAAACTTTTGGCTCTTTTTTTTTTCCTTTCTTTTTCTGGGGTTTTGATCAGATTCCTGGCATTTTTTCAAGTCTTAGGGATTTTGTGCCACCAATTGAGACATCCAGAGATGACTCAATTTTCCTCTGTGTACAAAAAACAAACTGTTCACAAGCTGTCCATAATCCTGCTCTAAAGGTGCCAATATGGAGGCATCTTTCTTTCTTTGCCCTTGATTCAACTAAAGAATCTGCACCCAGATGTAATATTTGACGTCCCCTTGTCGAAATTTAGAAGAGTTAAAACAGCTGGGTCAGGATTACTGCGCATGCTCACAACTTTGAACAAAGTAAATCCGCTCAACTGCAAGTCAAAATCTAGAGGGTGTTTTTCTTCCTCTATGATTATTGACGATGGTAACAGCTTACATTCTTCATATCCCATGGCTAAAGCTTAAAATTGCACTTTGAATCCTCGACTTGACATTGAAAGCTTCTTAATATAAAAAACATAATGCCAGAGTAACTAAAATATATAAAGACAACGCAAAACGAAGACGGATTGGCAAGGATGGAATCAGATTATGATTTGCAGTCAAGCAGATTCACGTTCGTGGGATGTAAGTTCTGAGCATGCGCAGTAATCATGACACAGCTCCTTTAAGGCCAAATATTTGTAAAGTCATGGGTTTGAATCCCTTGTGGGTTCTGGCCTAAAAAAAATGATCCTACCGCAAGAACTTCAGTCTGGTTGTCCTTCTAGGAGACTGCAATGTATTGTGAGGTATGCTCATGTAACTGGAGCGGGCTGGATAAATTGGCAAATAAATTTGATCAACACTGATCTGGAGCGGCAGTCTCGTACACATTTCGGCTGTCTAATCCTTCGTGTTCTGTCCTTTGGGGGGTTTCCGCTGTCACTCTGAAGTGTTTTATGTCTGCTTGGTGTTTTACGGGACAGAACTGGTATCTGTGAGCCTAAAGCTGTCCCTACACTCTGGGGACATCACAGTGCTTTTGGATATCAGTCCCTGTAAATGTGTCCGTCCATCACAGCCGCGCTAAAAACTCTACGATAGGAGCTGTCAGTCAACTTTATTTCATGTTGAGTTATCATATTTCAGCGGGAAATGCTAACTGGCATCTTTTGCAGCTTATGCCTAATCGTGAATGCTTGCTCATAATCCCTTCATTTTCTGTCGTAATGGACGTGGAGAAAATTGCAGGGTGAGGGTTGAACTGAGGATGAGGTGAGGTCCTCTTATATCAAATGAGTGTGGGGGGGTAGGGTGGAGCAGGGTGGGGCAGGGTGGGGCATGTGAAGCATTTGTAATTTTGTGGAAAAATCAAAATGAGAGACCCGTTACGCATCCGTAATTGTTGACGCTTGACATTTTCGCATTTCTAAGATCAGCTTGGATGGGGGATGATGACACATTGACCTGGAAAATGGATGAATTTTTGCTTGTATTTAAGCGCATATTATAGTCCTCAGGGATTTGGAGCATGACAGAATGCTTCAGAGGACCAGGAAATTCCTCATCGGCGTGCATTTTCTAATCATGTGAGCCTGTCAGCGGATGAATACATCCAGAGTGTTTTTAAAACAAATTGGCAGCCATTTATCGATGGTGAAGCCCTGGAGAGTGACTCACTGGATTTGAAAATGATGAGTTTGAGGTTAAAGCAGTAATGATCTGGTTTAATTTATGTGAATGCGCCAAGTAAAGATGGACATTTCTTGACACTTTGTGATTTTGAGATAAAGCCTGCTAAAGTTGGGCATTTTTTATTACTCGATCTGTGATTGCGGTTTACTTTTTACATGATTCCATTGAAACTAATGGGTGAATCACTCAAATTTTTTGACACCAAATACTTTACAGGAACACATCAAACTATAGCAAAAAGTTAAAGTCCAAGTGTCATGAAATGTCAATTTTTACTCGATTTGTTCACTCATGGGCATGTATATTCATAATGTTAGAACTGTAACTGGAATCCCATTCACTTCTTCTGACTTAAATGCTTACATACTGTGCTGCGCCTTTGTTAAAAAATTGGTCTTCACATTTGAGATAATATATTCACTAACACGGTTAAAAATAGTCTCGTGATAACACATTCTTCTGAGACTTTTTTTTTTTTTTTTTTTGGGTGGGATTAATTTCTTGATGTCACCCACGCAGGAATGCGACAGATCTGACTCATGCAGGGATATTTTAGGATTGTAGGGGAACACTTATCAGCAGTTTGTTTAATACAGTTTGGAATGTTTCCCTCCAGTGACCTCAGCGGGGGCACAGTCACGACTATCTGATGCCGCGCGGCGTTTGTGTGTCGTGCTCATGCTTCCACGGTTAGCCAGCGACTCCCATTTTCTCACTGGGGGGGATTTTTTTTTCCGCGTTTTTGCTCCTGCTGAGCAGACAGGGCCTGGCTTTATCGCTCAGGGCGGTCAGCCGAAGTGGCAGAATAGATCTTTATGGACCGGCTGTGTTTGCACTTTCTGTTTATGTGAGAAATGACTCTCTTATCTGTCACCCGGGCGATGACGTACCCGCTGTTAGCGCCATCGCTGATTAACTGCGCTGGAAAGTTGCGGAAGACGAGAAGTGTGGATGTTGGCGTGTTCGCTCGATGTTGTTCTGACTTCAGTGTACACCCCTAGCGCCCCAACAGCTGCAGAATTTCAGCTCATGATAACATTGTGGCAAATGCAAAATCTGAGTCCAGTATTTTTAGAATCTAATATTCTATTCTAAGCAGAAAAAATATTGTTAGTTTCGACTGTTTGGTTCAAGCAGCTGTTGGTTCTCTGAATGTTTGCTTCCTCTGATTGAATGTTGCACTGAAATAAGGCAATGTTTAGCTAAGCTGAAGCTCATTATTTAAACTACACATTTTAGTCTGGTCTTTGGACAGGATTAGGTCATTGTGTCTCCATCATTGCATAAAGGAACTCGAGAAACCTGAGGCCCGGTCATTTTGGGGCAAGAATTTTGCCTTGGAAAACCCTGACTCTGCAGTCTGCCTGTCTACATTGCTGTACTGTTATTTAGCTAATGTTTTTAGCCAGTAAAGGGCCCTGTCCCCCTGGGGACTTGTGAAGTGAAGGGCCTTGCTCAAGGGCCCCATAGCTGCTCTGATATTATGGTGGTAGCCCTGGGTTAGAACCAACAACCTTTTGGGTCTCAGCCAACCCCTTTGACCACTTAGCTTCAGGCTCCTTCACCTACATGCTCAGAGTTCAGTGTTCGCTGCCATCAATTCCAAATAAGGCCTTGGTGGGTGTTAGTCTTTATTTTAACCCAACTCAAGGACACTAGGAAGTAAATAAATAGTAGAGTACGGTGTCATGTTTGTGGGCTAGAACGAAGACCTATATCCGCCTTAGTTATTTTTGGATAACTCGGACACCCTCGACTTGCGTGTCTATAAATTTTGTGATGAAGTACTGTTTGGCGTGACATCATAATGATTACCATTTGTTTGTGTATGAATGTGGATGACTGTTCTTGAGAAGTATGATTGTATGTTGAGGATGACCTGTAGGAACCTGTTATGTTTGGTATAGGCTGGGTTTGGCAGTGATTGGCTCTTGGTAGTGCAAGACGGTTTCAGGCATTCCAACAGGTCTTAAGTATTTCCTGCTGGCTTTGCTAAATCCAATTTTTTAGTCCCAAGTGTGATATTTTGCCTAAATGACTATGTTTGGTGGCTCCAGATGTGGGTGTGCAGTCTGGTTTTTCAGAAATGAAAGCCTGGTGTATTTTGATGAAGCTTTGTTACTCTGCTTCTTTCACATGGAAGTAGATATCTGATGTGTTGTTTAGCTTTGCATAGATGTGTCCTGAGAATTGTGTAAACCTCACAGATGTGCAAGGCCATTAGTTTTATCGAAGGTGAACTCGATGAAGAAATTATGGAGATGTCCCATCCCGACAATGTCACTGAAACTCCTAATTAGACGCTGTGGCATGTATAATTTTAGGAGCACTTTGTCCTCACAGAGTTTAATGGAATTAAAGCCGATTATGAGTCAGTTTTTCTCATAGGCTTCACTGCCAGCGTTTGGACTCGACACAACGTGTTTCCCGGCTAATTAACATGATTTAGTTTCTTTCGCCTACAAATTGAGCTTGATCTTCAAAACACTTCGTGCCCTCGCTGGAAAATATCATTTCTTTAAGCTTTTGGCAGTTTAGTTTGTAGTTTAACTTAGGTGTTTGCTGCACTCGATTACCATAATGCTGAGTAAATAGACGTTGATGAGACTAGGCTACAGTGGTCAACTATATAGCTGTTTATTTCCTGCATTGGCACCTTGGTCTTGGGATTTTGAAATCTCTTCTTTCAATATGTTGCTGTTGAGCACCAGGGCTTTCCCTGGTTTGTGCTCGATTGGCCAGTCAGGTGCTGTGCGGAGCGTGAGCTGACTGCAGGTTTCCCGAGCTCTGATGACCACCTGCAACAGGGGCTCAGAAGGAGAGAACCATGTGGAGAGCGATATGGTTCTAGAGCTGCTGGTTCAAATGTGCACACACGTTCACGAACACGCGCACAAGCGCGTGCGTGCGCACACACACACACACACACACACGCATGCATGCACACACCCTCACACACACACACACACACACACACACACACACACCGTTTTGGTGGATGAGGCAGGGAGGGACAGGGGGCGTAGGAACAGGGGGTGCTGACCCCCCCCCCCTTCCCCCCAGTAAATCTGTCCCCCTGAGACACACCAGCCCTCCCTGGGTCACAGTGAACACACAGCTTGTTTACCCAGAATTCCTCACTGCACTGAGCCCAGACAGGGTGAGTCAGCGGGGTTTCAGCCCTCTCTGCGTGATTAGGCATTCGGGTCCTGCCTGTTTGTGCTCATTACAATAGGAACGGGTGGGTCTCGCTCATTCTCACTCTCTGTCTGTATATCTGTGCTTAACATGCTTCTCTCTCTCTCTCTCTCTCTCTCTCTCTCTCTCTCTCTCTCTCTCTCTCTCTCTCTCTCTCTCTACCTCCCTTTCCCTCTTCGCTCTTTCTCTTTTTCTCTTTCTACTCTCACTCTCTCCCCATCTTTCTCCCTGCCTTCACCCTTCTATCTCTCTCTCTCTCTCTCTCAGTGCGGGGTACTTACACAGCATGTTCTGGCAGACTGTGGGCTCGTGAAACTCGTCTGTAAACCTGTCTGGGAGTGTGTGTCCTGTCTCTCTCAGGCGTTATTCTGTCATCCACTCCTCACTTTCTCTTTACCTTATCACATGAGTGATGTTTGTTCACACACCGCTGGGTTATTTTGCCATTAAAGGTGTGTGAGTCTGTGAGTCATTGGAGGTCTGGAGTCTAAAAGCTGGTGGATTTAGGTTAAACTGCTGGCGCGCCACATGAGAATGTTTTCAAAAATGAAAGCTATGCTTTGTACCTCTATTATGCCTCATCTTAAATTCTTCTGGAATGAATGTTTCTGTTGGCTTCGTGTCTCGGTGCTTGAACCGTGGGAAGAATATTCACTCATCAAAAAAAAAAAAAAAAAAAGAGCAAAGTTTTGATGCCCCGAAACTACTCTCAAATGTTCCCCCCCGAAACATAAAGACAAAGATTTGTTGATTTATTCACCTAGTGTCGCACCGCATGGCACAGTCATGCTGTCTTTTCAGTTTAAAAGCATCTCTATAAGCCACTCTAGTTTTCTGGGTACTCAAGTATAGCTTTTCTTGCATTTTTGTTCAGATAACAAAAGGATTTGGCGTGCTGTAACTATACGAGCTTCGCCTGGGCTCGCCGTTTGACACAGAGTTGATGTTCTGTCAGTTGTGACAGTATGTGCTTTAAGAATGGTGCCTTATTTGACCTGTGTCGTGGCTGTGGATATCTGACACTCAATGAGAGGGACCGAGCACACGGGAGACGTGCTTGCGTGTGAAATTTGTGAGGCGGCACCTCACACGCACGTCTTTTATAAGCGAGGATGAAAGGAGAAGTTTTGAAACATTGCTATGACAACAAAGTGACAGCTCTGCTGGTTATGTTTAATGTTGAAACATTTTCATTATGAAAGTGGAAAAACAGAAACAAAATCCCACCCCTTTCTCTTTCGTGATTGGTCGCCTGCTGTGACACTGGCATTGATGAGTCTCGCTTCTCGCAAATTTTAACCTCGAACGGCTTCTTAAACATGCGAGCACTCAGCGTTTAAGCGCAGCGGAGGAGACGTGAGGCGTGTCTGGTGCGTGCTGTCAGTGGTAAATAATCAAAAAATGACGTGCTCACAAGCATTCACATCTCCTGTGTGCATGGCCCATTATCCATCCTGTACTCTGTTGCTGTTCCTTTGACTTTCGTGTGACACTGTCTGCACATCGTTCTGAATAAATGTGCCCTGCCAAACACATTATTTAATGAAAAACTGAGTGAGCTGCTTGAGTTTGTTGGGAGGTGAAGTGATGGTGCTGATCTGTGGACGGGGATTTCCTCTGCATCTTACCTAAAATGCACCGCTCCTGATCATCTGCATCAACCATGTGCATTGTCCTGGCTCATGGACAGTTGAGAACTTCTTTCCATTTTTTGAGTGCTTCCTGGAAAGCATGATTATCAATTTTTGTGAGGTTTTTCTTCCTGAGGAACGGACGGCCAGGGTAGCAGGGGAACAGAACCCCCCCCCCCAAAATGCCTCGGGGCTGTGTCCAGGCACGAGGCTCGCTAGGCCCAAAAAACAACAGCGTGCTGGGGAAGATCACACAGAGATTAGACCTCTAACTCCTGCTCTTGACAAAGAGCACAAAGCTTGCCTGGGTGTAGCGGGCCTTTTCAGAGGGCGAGACACGCTCTCCGAGATCTCGCTGCCGTAGGACTGCGGAATGCAGCTCTGCTTGGGGGCGGAGTGGTTTCACTGCACGCAAATGTCAATATTAAGCGTAAAGCCGTCACCTGACGCCCTCGAACATCCGCTGAAGCGTCCTGATGATAGAGGCTCCGCCCTGTTAAACTCTGTGCTCTCACATGCTGTCCTTCGCTAGGTGCCCCAGGTGAGGAACGCTAGAACATTGTGTCCTCCTTAGAGAATGGATGCATTGCATTTTCTTAAATACCGTCTCCTGGTTATGGGTTGACGTGTCATTGTTGAAGTAGTGGAATATCAAGGTTGGGTATCTGTACTCTGCACAGCACTTTCTCCTTTGGTATCTTACAGTGAATGTTAGGTATGCCTTTAATTTATCGCTGAAGACTTCAAGCTTTTGTTTTTTATTGGTTCATGTGACGTGTAGAATGTGTATACAGTATATTGGGAAAAATATTCAAACCCTGGATGCTCTGTTTCTAAGGCCACAGCAATACATCAAAAGGAATATATCTAGTATCTTGCGCATATTTATTAATTATTATTTTTTTACACATTTCCCTGTAAACATATTTGGTGTATTTCAAAACTATGGCATCGCCACAAGAGTCTAAAATAGGCCTGAAGTTCCACAGGTTTGAATGCAGCAGGTTATAACGGGTTAATAGTTTGATATGTAGGATAACTAATGAATACCTGTATTTAGACACATTGATTTTTAAGAAGGTGCCTTTTGCCTCTGTAATTTTGAGAAGGAGCACAAAGCCGCTGCAAAGCCAAGCCCAGTGTGTGCTCACCAGCTCGAGTTCTCCTGTGTGCATCCTCAGTGATGCATGGCAAATAAAAATGAATCTCTTTGAGGTGAAAGATTGGATTTTCTCACCCCCTGAAGACCCTCATTGACTCTGAAGCCTGATCTCGGCTCTCTTCTGGTGCTATTGGTCCCATCTGAGGGTTTTAAACGATCTACTTTGAACACTCAATGACATTTATCATTCAGTCATGCATGACTTATTTATAACAAGTGATCTCATTTAATTGTTTCGCAAGTATTTCATTTATATTGTAAATATTTCTGATTTTGGAGGAATGGAAGTAAACTAGGCTATTTAACAAACAGGCTTATCATTCTTGTCCTTGGTTGTTTGTTTGCGTCATTTTTTCTCTGATTTTTAAAATGCCTAATTGACATCAGTCCTTAAATCCTTTGAGTTGTGATAAATGGGGTTTCACCGCTTGAGGGACCCATGTACGTAAACAGAGGGATAGATTTGTGTCTTGCTCTCCCAGCTTCACCTGATAAAGTGGCGCAACCCTGTGGCCCGGGGCTCACTCTCCTACTGCATTGTGGGATATGTATTCCTCCAGTGGACGGGA